GTTCTGGGTTATGTAGCAAAAAGAAATAGTCCACAAAAAAAAAAAAGACCCCCCAAAAAAAAAAAAAAAAAAAAAAAAGGACTCATTTGAGTTAAATGAAACTCACAAACTTAATTTTGGCATTTCTTCACGCTGAGTGCTTGAGCTGACATATATGCATCCCACCATTTGCAAAACTAGCGTACCCATCTTTCCGAGGCTGTCAAGCTGCTAGGCTAACTCTGTGATTTGGGGGGGAGAGCTGCAAGAGGATGATTTTCACCCTTGTCACCCCTCAGATACCCGAAGAAATGAGCAGGGGCCGGAACTCGTACACGGAGCAGGACCTGCGTCCCCTCAGCTTGGAGGAGCTCCGGGGCGGCAGCAGCACCACCGAGCCCTGCGACTACCACTGCTACCTCCAGGACTGCGTGGACGACTTGCTCAAAGAGATGAAGGAGAAGTTTAAAGGCTGGGTCAGCTGCTCCACCTCGGAGCAAGCAGAGCTGGCCTACAAGAAGGTATGGACCTTGCCATTCACGCCATAGCTTGAGTTTTTAGCTCATCTTCTCTAATACAAGCAGGCTTTTGACATGGGATATTACAAAAGGTTCAGTGCACACCTTTACTTTGCAGATAGGCTTAAGAAAAAATAACACAAAAAACACCTTAGTCTTTTGATATAGTTGCACACATCTGAAAACACCATGTCTTTCAGCAGTAGTCCGCTAACGTGCACTGATCCGTGTTCTTCTGTTTATCCAGCCCAGGAATGTTCACTGTGTTGGGTTTACACGCCTTCACTCCCATGTGCAAAGCCTTGACAGGCTGAGTGAAGCTGCCAAGCACTGTCACTATGCAGGCAGCAGGAAAGAAGTTTCTCGCTCTAATCTTGCACAGTTCGGAGCTAGCACATGGAAAACTGTTTCAATGAGATTTAAGATATTTAAAAAATAAATGTGGAAAATTAGGATATTTTTCTGTAGCGTCATGATCTAATAGTGGTCCATACAGGAGAAGGTAACTGTAGCTTAAAAATAAATTGGAATTCAGCACGCAGATGCCCTTAGCTGTTAGGAAAACAACCTTAGTCTTAGCTTACGACAAGCTTAGTGCAATATATACATATATTTGTGTATGTATTTAATTTGCTGTATTTAGCCAACACTGAAGTCAGAAGGAAAACAAAGTGTAAAGAAGGGTAAAACTGAGGACTGTGTTGATTTTCCCCAGGTATGCGAAGGTCCCCCACTCCGGTTATGGAAAACTACCATTGAAATCCCAGCTACGCCAGAGGACGTTTTAAATCGTTTACTTAAAGAGCAGCATCTTTGGGATGAAGATCTTATAGATTCAAAAGTAATCGAACCTTTGGATAGCCAGACGGATATATACCAGTATGTCCAGAACAGCATGGCACCTCACCCAGCCAGGGACTTCGTAGTCTTAAGGTAAGACTTTTATACTTTTTATAGCAACCTTGCCTACAATTTCTGTAGAAGTTACGTAGGTAAATATCTGCTTGTGTACGATTTGAAGTCTTATTAGATGTTTGAATTACTTTTTGTCAAAGGTAAGACTTTTCTTTTTTTTTTCTTCTTTTTTCTTAGAACATGGAGGACAAACTTCCCAAAAGGAGCTTGTGTGCTTTTAGCAACCTCAGTGGACCATGACCGTGCTCCAGTGGCAGGCGTTAGAGTCAATGTGCTCCTGTCTAGGTATCTGATTGAGCCCTGCGGGTCAGGAAAATCTAAACTTACCTACATGTGCAGAATTGATTTAAGGTACGAACTTCCACTTTGTCCTTCCGGGGTGGTAACTTTTCTTGTATAGTTTCCGTGTCGTCAGCACAGAATTTAGACAGTTAACAGGCTTTAGCTTGGCCAGTAGTATGTACTTCTCAAAGGCATTCACACAAGTCTCTGAGATGTCAGAGGAAATTGGCCTCAGTGCACATCTATCAGCAGGTGTGGTTCATTGTACTGGAAGCCTCCAGTATGGGCTCCACCATAGCTACTGGTATATAATCCCACCCTTTCCTCTGACAGATGTATTTGAATATAAGGACATTGTAATGTTAATATTAAGTTAGTAAACAGGACCAAGTTCTCACAAAACTTCTCGTAACTTTTCCTTATGGCGGCAAACTTGGTTTTGAGCAAGTCTGTATAATAGTAAGTCTGAGCTGAGCAGTAAGCAGTAATAAGGAGATTTCCTACTCGGGCTTTTAACCAGCTAGATATGTATTTGATTCTGACTAAGAAAATGCATGCAAAGTTACTGGTACCTACTTCATCACTATTTTTTTCTCCATGCATCAGGGGCCACATGCCAGACTGGTACGCCAAGTCTTTTGGACACTTGTGTGCATCGGAAGTCGTTAAGATACGAGACTCTTTCACTCATCAGAGCCTTGAGAGCAAGGAAGTAAAATCCAGGTGACTACTGAAGAGGAACAGCCACGCGCTCCAGACCTCAGCAACGTAGACATTATCCAAAACTGAGGCTCGTCTGCTGCAGACCGGACCAGCGTATCATCTGCAAGTCATGTCGTGAAGGGATGACAGCATGAGAACTTGACTGTGAGCATTACTATAGGACTGTGGCCATACCATACACTTTAAAGCTGCTTCCTGTCTGTGTAAGGTCTATAGTGTAGGCCTCGACTGGAATACATAGGAGGACTGTGCAAAAAGAAAGAAAGAAAAAAAAAAAGTAGTATTGTACTATTAGCTGGTTTGAATTGCTTCTGAGAAGCAAAATTCTTTAAATGCAAAATATATTATGAAATATGGTGAAGGCTCATCATTCCCATGTGAAATACTTAGCTCTATGTACATACCCACGTCATTTTATTTGTAGTGCGTTGAGGGACTGGTGTATCCACTGGAATAGTTGGTACTCTTCAATGTGTTCTCACTGAGATAAGCAGAGAAAGGTTTGCACAGAGATCAAAGTGTGAATGAGTGTGTTTAGTGGTTGAAAGGATAGCAGAAGTCGAACTTGAAATGTGTCTGGTACACTGATAGGCAACCAGAATGGATTTTAGTATGCTGGATACAGTACAACCTAGAATGGGACTCCCCTGTGGACCAGGAGTAGGCATCCTTCCCATGTGCCAGTTCTGCATTTTCCTCAGCTATAACCTTGTTAAAAACCCTAAGCAGATGTTACAAGAGGCTTGCTCCAATTTACGGGTCACTCCTTAGCCAGACGATCTTTTAGGAGTGATTAGCAATTCTATAGCAATTTTAAGTAAGTATATTTTTGAGCCACGTAGCAGCTTAGAAATGAAACGTTTATGCAACAGTGAAGAGAGCCAGTAATGTCAGTTGTTAATTTGCCAAAAAAATGTTTGTTGCTTTTACTCCTACCTGTGTTAAGTATAAGTGTTTTAATGAGCTTTTATATATTTTACTGTATTCTAATGGCTCAAGAGGAAGAAGTCAACACTGGAGTTGCCCTGCTGGGAGGTGGCAGGACTCCAGCAGCAGCAGGCTGGGTGAGGTGGCTCGGAGGAGTCGCACGGGCTCTCTCCTTTTCCCTCCCTCCTTTGCCAGTTTTCCTAAAAGCTGCACGTTACCACGAACAGAACCTGCACGTGAGCAGTTTAGAGGGTTATATATGGGGGCAGAGAGGAGGGTGGGGTTTTGTCTTGGGTTTTGTTGGGTTTTAAACCCTTTGGGATATTCCCCTCTCCTTGAGAATCATCTTGTATGAACTGTAGGAAGTCTTGAGGTCCTCTGGAAAGGCGTCTTTCTGTAGGTTTTACTGTAAAGGTAAAGATTTGCTTTCAAGGTGCAGTATTAAGTGATAAATGTATTTTGTGGCTAGGGTATGAATGAGTTGCAAGATGGAATTTTGACTGAGACTTTGTTACCATTGTCAGTATTATTTTAAGCTTTTTGATGAAGATTTTTTTATTAGGGCAAATAATGTAGTACTTCCAGTAACAATGTTCCTCATGAGTAGGAAAACCTTGTATATTCTTCTACATCAAACACTTTTGAATTTGTAAAATTGTATGTTGTACATACCATTCTATTGTAAACATGTATACTTGCCCACAGTATACTGTCAAACATAGATAAAGCATGATAAAAGATTATTTAAAATATACCTGTATTTATACCTCAGATATTCTTTTTGGGTTTTTGTACCTCAAGTATGTTTTCTATTGTAAATGTGCTTTACATGACTATGATCTACATGAGAGAAAGGAAAATGTTTAACTTGCAATAGATGTCTGTACAGAATATACTCAATAAGTGCACTATTAAATGTTTAAAATTGGAGAAGCATACTGGTTTTTATTTTCTTCTGCGTTCTTCTTTCTGCTCCTGGGCCCAGAGGAGGCATTTTTCTTACCACTGGTTCCTCACATAGTACTACCTACTGCATAGCTCCCTCTGTCCTTTCCCAGGCCAATATTTTTAGCATTTTTAAAGGCAGGTACCAAAGCAATTTCAAAATTTTTGGAAGACAAACCTTCACGATGGCAGTCAGCTGGACCGAAATAGTCCCCAGTCTTTAAAAGTAAGAAGAAACCTCCATTTTGCTGCTGTCTTTTGGGAAGGTACACTTGAATATAACAGGGAGCAAAGCAAACTTCTACTAGGTCAGCAGCTGTAGGCAATGCTGAAAAATAATTCACCACTTTCCTATTTTCTGGGAGGAGAATGAGGGTGTGACGAGTCACAGGTTTGCTTTAAAAAATGCAAGTGTGAAAGTAATTGGAGAAAGTTAAAGCACACGCAGCAGTGAAACGGAGCCAAAGAGAAGGCCAGGAGGATACACAAACAACTGACTAAGGTGAAAAACGAAGCCAAAGACAGCTGTTAATTCAAGCAACTTCAAAAAGTTTTTAAAGTCTTAGCCAACAGAAATATAATTTGGGCATCTGAAAGAGGATTTTGATTTGTGAAGCTTCTCTGACAGAGTAGCTGGAAGGAGGCCTGCTGCCTTTGGGTTACCGACATCCATTTCTCCGCCTGAGCATCCCCACGTCCTGATCGCTATCGCTTCCCGCTGCGTTCCCCCGGGAGCAGTGCGAGATGCTGCTTCACAGCCTGGCAAAAGCAAAACTCTTGCTGTCATGGTACTAGTTCTCACACGTCAAAGAATCTTGTGGAAAGACTTTCTCATAAGGGACTGTCATTTGTTTGGCTCTTAGAGGATCTTCTTTCTCCCCAAGTCGATACTAAAAATAAAACCAACTGTACAATTAAAAAAAAAAGAACAAAACAGGTTTGGGCCCTTGGAGCAAGCAGTTAGAACTAATTTATTTTTGTCTGTAATGATGGTTTTGTTTGTATTTTTAAGCATACTGATATGTTATAGACTTTTCAGGCACTTCAAGGATTTACTCTGCATTTTGATTAAAGTGCATTTACGTTACTTTCAAATCAGCATTTTCCTAAAGATTTCTAAAACATGAGTTACTTTTGACTCTTCTAAAGAGTGTCACGCTCCTGAATGTTTGTTTTCTTGGCACCTTCCATGCCAGAAGTCTATACTGTCCATGCTGTAGTTGGTCAACAGAATTCAAGTTTCTATGTCTGTGTTTCTTACCTGGTGTTGCTCATGGTGGCACTGGCTCTTGCTCGGATGCTCTCATGCTTTAAGTCATGGTTGCCACAGGGGAACACAGGCTGGGCTCCCCCCTTCAGTTCTGGCAGGGTCCTGGTATGGCCAACTGTCCACACAGCATCCCCGGTGCAGCACAGGTCCAGTCTGCTTTCTAACAAATACAAATGGAAAAAGGCACATCTTACTGTCATGCCTCAAGTAACACACTCCACAATTAGTGATTTATGAAGCTGTAAATAATCAGTGGCCTTCATCATAAAGGCCAGAAGGCAATGTCAATAACGCACATGGACAGGCTGAGAAAATGAGCCTGAAACGACCCAAACCAGTCCCTCTGCAGCCTGGTACAAGACCTTGAGAAGGGCAGGATCTAATATATACCCACCGTAGTCCGTGCCAGGAGAAAGCTGATAAGAAAACAGTATCCATGACTTGGGCTACATAATAAAGGTAGTTACTTCCACTTAAGACATATGAAAATTAAATGTTATACACAGCTCTTCTGCTAAGCGCTGGAAGCAGTGCTCTACAATCATAAGGAATGAAGTCAAGATGCTGTTTTAATGGAGCAATGCATTAAATTTACAAAGACAAAATGCTAATTCTTTTGCCTATGCTATACTATAACTTGTCAATACAGCCATTGACTGCACCCACTGTACAAGGAACTACTAAAGATTTCTGAAAAAATTACTTTCAGCCATTTCTTATCTGCCAATCCAGAGCTATCTTATTTCACTACCAGGGAAAGATATCGGTGTCTAAAATGATGATTAGTGTAGCACTGGAGGTGAAAGTGAAGTAATGTTCTTATTACTGATGCTAATATGGAACTTCTGCATCCATGCTTCTTTAACCCTGAGCACTATCCCAGGCACTTGAGGCTTGCTCACTTTCCCCTCCCCTCTCCACCATCCTGCTATATTTTCCTGTATTTCCAAGCTGAGTCCAGGGACAGTAAAAAGCAGTGAAGGATGGGAAAGAATTCAAAGAAGAAAGAAAAAAACCAAATCCATCAAAAGAGATTAAGACACTGAAGGGGTACGTCTATACAGAAAGATTCAATACACATAATCTGGCCACTAGACAAGAGGGCTGTGGTAAATGTCTACTAGCACTGGAAGGTCATAAAAACACGGGAGAAGGGTTCAAACTATCTGAGTGGGTGTACAAGTTGGGATAAAAATTCGTTAATGGAAAATTTGAGGCAGAAGGAAAGGAAAAGGCATTTTTCCACACAGCAAGAGGTCTTTGAGGTTGTGGGACAATCTCTTCCTGCGAAGCAGCAAGACTGTAAGTCATTTAAAACTGCATAGACTCAAATCCTCAAATTCCTGCCCTATCTTTCATAAAGCATCACAAATCATAGAATCATAGAATGGTTTGGGTTGGAAGGGACCTTAAAGATCACCTAGTTCCAACCCCCCTGCCATGGGTAGGGACATCTCCCACTAGACCATGTTGCTCAAAGACTCATCCAGTCTGGCCTTGAACACCTCCAGGGATGGAGCATCCATGACTTCCCTGGGCAACCTGTTCCAGTGTCTCACCACCCTCACAGTAAAGAATTTCTTTCTACTGTCTAAGTCTCTCCTCTTCCAATTTAAAACCATTGCCCCTTGTCCTGTCACTACACTGCCTGACAAAGACCCCCTCTCTGGCTCTCCTGTAGGCTCCCTTCAGATATTGAAAAGCCGCTATAAGGTCTCTCCGGAGCCTTCTCTTCTTCAGGCTGAACAACCCCAGATCTCTCAGCTTGTCCTCACAGGGGAGGTGCTCTCTGCTGAGGGTGCACTCTATCCCACTGTCCATGTCTCCAACAAAGATATTGAACAGCACTGATCACAGTATGGACCCCTGAGGAAAACCACTTGTCACTGGCCGCCAGTTGGACAGTGAGTCATTGACCACAACCCTTTGAGTGTGGCCATCCAGCCAGCTCCTTATCCACTGAGTCCATCAAATACATTGTTTTCCAATTTTGAGACCAGGATGTCATGTGTGACAGTGTTGAAAGCTTTGCACAAGTCCAGGTAGATTATATCTGTTGCTCTGCCCTTGTCCACCAAGTGTGTGGCAGTATCATAAAAGTCCACCAAATTTGTCAGGCACGATTTGCCCTTGGTGAAGCCACGTTGGCTGTCTCCAATCACCTCCTTATATGCCACCCGCCCACAAGCAGCCAGCTCCTGGAGGGACCAGTCGCTGCTACCAGCTTCTAAAGCCCTCAAAAAGAGCTCCTTGCCAGTCCTTTTAGGGTTTCTTTTTTGCCGCGATCCCTTCCCGCAGTGCCGCTTACCTCCACTGCAGCTGATCTCCTCGGCAATATCAAGACCCTCTCTTCATTACTTGACAAAATTACAAGGCCAGCAGTTTTCACCTGTAGTGTTGGGTAGCGCTGCCTTGCTGAGCAAGAAACATTATGGTGTCAAAAATAAAGTTACAATTAAATAACAAATATTTTGGAAGTTGCTAATGACCAAGCCTTTCTCTAAGAATTACACTGGAGGTTATGGAATGCAGTTTCCTCACGTTTTATAGAAGTGGACATTCATTTCAAGGAGAAGATGCTGTGCCAGCCTCCCACTATGAGCCAAGAGCATGAAAGATCAGCATGGGGAGGTTACCAGACAACTAGTAGAGTCTTTTGCTTTTTCTAACATTTACTCAAAGCCCAGAAAGATCTATAACTGATAAGCATGCTTTCTCTATCATGCTGAGAATCAAATCCATTGACACTTCAGTGTCACTTTAGACAACAAATTTAGACACCTAATAGCAGAAGTAGATCATGTTCATAACACAGCTAGGACTAAGACGGTGTGCAAGATGTGGGTAACAGAGGAAGGGTTCTTCTAAAATGAAGAAGAGGACCCAGTTGGCCAAACACTACCAAGATGTTTATTGACATAGCAGTCTGAAATATCTATTCAAAACAAAGAGGTCATCTGGTAAGAATTCTCCTTTGTTTCAAAAAGAGTTAAAAGAAAATAAATTTCGGTCAAGGCATTGTTGGGAGCTGGTTAAACATGTAATCTTTAGCTAGGCTATAATTCAAGTTTATAGAAACACTGACGGGATGTTAGCAAAGTTCCTATAGGCCACTTTTTTAACCCTGCCACTGGGGAAAGTTGTACAATAGAGCATATTTTAAGTAGCCCATTTAAACATTTGAAAAGGAATGCAAAGATACCAAAATATTTGTTTTAACTCACTCACTTGGTCTCCAGCAGTCTATACTCTTTTCATTTCTCTAAATACCTGCCAGCACCACAGCAGCACAAGAGAATGTCTGAAGAGCACACATGGGGTTTTTCACTGACCTATAGGAATGCTTTTGTTGTTGTTGTTGTAATATATATATATATATAAGGCCTTAGGGAATTTTGTAATCTTTGCCCTTAAAATTTCTAAAATGTACAGTCCTTACTACCATTACCCACAGGATAAAAATTCTCATTGAAGCCTTTGTCACCTATATAATTTATCAACTGGGGCTTCTAAAGCATAAAACAAGTAATAAAGCATTCAGTAATGATAATACAAATAATAATCCAAGTTGATTTTGAATACTCAACCTCAGTGACATGCCTACAAAGCTAGAACTACATTAAAGTCAGTACTTAAATAAAAGCAAGAACAAGGTAAAACTTCACTACAATTTCACTCACCATCAGATGATAATGAAAATTGCTTCTTGTTGCATAGAAAGACAGTTGTGAAAGCCTTGTTAGACCATCTAAAAAGAAAAGGAGTTCCATTAAGGTAATATGTCTGGAAAACAGCACCTGCCCCCCCTCCACATAGACACTATACTCCACTCTCTAAGATGGGAAAAGCACACAGAAAATACTGAATCTCCCAAATTCCAGTGCTGCCTCCTGTAAATCCTCAGCAATGGTGAGGCATCCACCTCCCAGCGAGGGGAGGAGGAGACAAAATGAGACGATGTTCAGTCTTATGCAGTGAGAACTAACAGCAACTCCCTTCCCTCAAGGGCATCCCATCTGTGTGCCACGCTCCTCATCAGATCAAATGGCACCAGCAGCATAGAAACACATATTTATAATAACGCGTGGCAAGTATCTTAATAAAGTGGACACAAAGCACACTTAGAAGTCATAACCACTAGTGAATTCCAGGACCGTAACGATGCACTCAGTAGCACTAACACTACACAGCACTTGGTCTGCAAGTTCCCTGATTTGGCTTTGGAGACCTCCAAAACCACATTAAATTGTGTTTGGAGGCCTTTTAAGAATGACCTTGAGCAAGTAGAAAAGAAGAGGAAAAAGTCTAAGAAAAAAAATATACATTCACATTTGCTTTCTTCCCTTTTCCAGCCTATGACAAGAATAAATGCTTGTGTATAGAAATATCATATAACCTTGTAGGTAAAGCCCTCGCCTCGCGGCGTTGCTTGCAAACAAGATTAGGCAGAATAGTTATTGAACTGGGTTCAATTAATCAGACTTACTGGACTGGGGAGAGAGGAAAGGCTAAGCCCTGAGCATCCTACTGGGGAAGGCAAGATCGATGAGGGAATGAATGACCTGTCAAGAACGGTGATGGGGTTCAGAGGCCCTGCCGCTGAGGAGCACAGAGGTTGTAGCAGGCCAGTCATGGCTAACAGACTGCAAGGCATGTATTTGATAAAATCCTAATCAGCTGGCAGACCTTGGGGAGTTTTAAATGTTTAAAGTTTTAGGTTTGGATAGGACCATATCCCCAGCTTACTGCTAGAAACAGAGACCAGAAGCACCGATTCAAAATTGCATCAAGTTGTCTGAGGAAAGAAGGCAAGACAAGCTGATTTCTGGCACCATCAGCTCTGTTACAGAAGTAATTATTTACAATATATCATTAACATTTGGAATTCACAACTAGTCTTCAGAGGTGTGGTTTTGGTACAGCTTGGCGAAAAATATATTTACAGAAGTTCCAGTTATTTTTCTCATGCTTCAGTTTCTGCCCTAGCCACTTTGGCTTACCTCTGGACATATTTTATACGAGAGCCCGCAGGAAGTTTCTTGTGCTGTTTTTCTGGAAGATCTTGTAATGGTCCCTGTCAGAGATAGAGAGCATTCATTTAAATTGATAAGCAGCACAATCTGGGACATGACATGATACTTACTGCGTTCCTGCTTATAATGCACCGTGCAGAAAGGCAAGCCCAATTACTGCATTATTTTTTTACTGTTAAACACTCTATCTTACTGATTTAGATTTTTTCTATGAAGTTTTTATACCACTTTTTTTTTTTTCTTCTTTTTTTAAAGCTTCTTTCCTGTGCCTCCTCTTCCTCTCCTGTTAAATTGCTAAAACAGTTTCCAGGGCCGGCTGCTCTGTGCAGTGGTTTGCTGGTTTCTGATGAAAGAGCTGCTGCCAAATTTTATAAAGAATGTTCCCCGGGGCACAGAGGGGAGGGAAGTATTCTTCATGGCCTCTGTTTTCTTCCCATATTGTTTAACAAACAAGCAAACTGCCCTGCAGTCGCTCTGACCCCTATTTAGACATATCCCTTTCAGGCAGCCACACAAATGAACTAGGAAGGAAGTGCCGTCACGGCCCTTAGAAAAGATAGAAGGAAATAAAGGCAAACATTGTGTGTCTAAACAAACAAGCTCTCTCTGCTCTGCCCTTGTCTTCTGCTTAATTCTTATAGAAACTGGTCCCAGAAGAAGCAGTTGGGGCAAGAGTATTTCCCAAGTTGTGCAGAACTCGGTTCCCTACCCGCTCTGTCCCCACCATCCTGCCAGGTTTTGCCCCAGCCTCCAAAACAAATGAATAATCCCAAATCTTTAGCATAAATGGGAACTCAGCCCAGGCTCTTTGTATGGTTTAAATCTGTCCCTCAGTCTGGTTTCCCACCTCGTGCCCTCTGTACCTCAGTTTCTGTAGTTAGACTTCCCCAGAACTTCAAGAGAAAAAAAAAATAATATTTTTCTGCTCCAGTAATCATAAATTGAAAGTGCAAGTTTTGCAAGACGACAAAACAAAAATACCTAGAGGCCAAACTGAGAACAAGTTTTCCTTTGAGGTGCTTTTTGCCTATACACAACTCCAAAGGATTTCTAAATCAAATTACTTTTGATAGACAAGAGATGAACCAGATGTGCTATTAACCCCATATCATGATGGGGAGCTAGAGCATATGTGCTTTTGGAATAAGAGATGCAACTAGAATATTAGAAAAGCAACCTCAGTGCTGCATGCTAACCACAGTAACAAGTTTTGACATATCACAGCTGATAAACTCAGTTTAAAGAATGCACAGATAGACTGGAAAAGAAAGAAAATACAGTAATGTAAAAGATTATGAGGGTGATTTTTAAAGTATTGTCACATTTCTCTGATGTTGTGCACTTACAGTAGTCCCATCTTGCTGAAACCAGAGATGGATGTTTCCTGGAATGGGGCATCTAGCACATTTCTTTAGAACATTTACCTTAAAGTGGTTACTGAAGCTGAAGTCGGCACTGGGTGACACAGACCTGGCATTGCCGTAGGACCATGACCCGACACAAGCACTGCATTCTCCGCATCCCCTTGGGCTGCTGCAGGTGTCCTCTGCTCGCCAGGGCTCTTCTCAACACACCAAACCCTGGGGCTGCTGTTTGCCCAGCCATCGCCTTAACCTGACAGAAAGATGGGAAAATCCAATTTCAAACAAAGCACCGGACTGATTGCAAGAGAGTCCTCTTACCTGCAGTCTACACTGGCACTCTGTGGCCAACACAGGTTTCTAGACTTTGTTTAAAATCTGCCAGAGGAGCACACAGGAGAGCAACCCAAATACTCGTGAGGGATTTGTCAAAAGCATTGCTTTGCCCTTGCTTGTAGCTCTTTGTCGATCGCACCATGCAGAAGAGCAGACAGAAAACAGAACTGGATCTGGTCGTCATCATGCACGGACTGCGATATGTGCATATTTGTGCCTGAGGAACTACCTATCACCGAGATGAATGGCATCACATTTAGATATCTGCTTAAAGAGATAAGACCCTGTAAGCTTTTGTTATCAGTTGTGCCCGGATTTGTATCATTAAACAAAAGATTGGATTAATATTTTTAAACAAATCAGATTAATGTTTTATACCCATTATTATGCTTCAGAGGGTCATAAACTGGGATAAAAAAAAATGCATATTTTTTACAGTACTTTCAAGCCATGAAGCAGAATAGCATACAGGATGCTCTTTGTAAGAAAATGTTTCCTAAGGTGCTGCTCCGTAGGTCTTACCACTAAAAATACTGTATTCTGCCTTTACCTTAAACTTCCTTTAGCTTAATAACTCATTTCAAAAAAGCATCAAAATCCCCCAAATGCTTCCTAGTCATTCCTAATGTGTTCAGATTGCTCTCTGTAAAATGTTGCAGGAGCAGGCAGCTGAGGCTGAGCAGCAATAGCTTCTGAAACCATTCCTTGCAGCTGCAGCCCTCCTGTTTTCTGCATCGCATTCTGTTCTGCAAACCTCCTGGTAGAGCCTGCAGGCTATTTTCTCTTTTTTTTTATGTTTTTTTTTGAGACTTTCCCTACTATTTGTGCGTTTTTTCTGGTCACGATGGTTGCTTCAGCCTGCCAGAGCCAGCCCTGCATCCAGGTCAGGCTTGGTCTTTGGTATCTCATTGTCTTCTCCCTTTGCCAGCCCTGATCTGATGCAAAACCTTTCACAGACATACACACAGCTCAGGCGAGGTGGCCTGTTTTGCCTATAGATTGTATCATGTTTAGCAGTGCTTGGAGGTAAGGGGCCTGTCATCACCCTCTTGGAGACCTCGAGTTCTGAACAACCAGCCTTTCCCCTAAAATGCATGAGGAGGGACGTCTGTGTAAGAGGAGGGACGTCTATGCAAGAAGAGGGACATCTATGCAAGTCCAGAAGTTTTTTTGGCTGGGTCAAGAGGAGAGTTTGATCAGAAGTGATAAGTATGCTTTGCTAGTTATTTTAAAGTACAGAGATTAAGTTACCGAACAAGGCATCCACAAGTTCAGGATCACCGAAAGGTATTGGTTTGTTCTAAGATATTTAACTATTTTTGTCTGAGAGCAAGAAATCTTTAGCTTCTGATGTGCTGTGCAGGATGAATTGGCTGCTCCCAGTGAACTGAGACCCACTCCAGCAATGAACTGGCCAAAAACATACTCTTCTGTCAGCCTGGAAAAGCAGCCATTACAACTTGTGTCTGAATCTGGTGTCTCCAGAGCAGACAGCGGCCTCACAGTGTGTTGCTGCTGGTGGCAAGCATTGCACCCGGGCAGTTTTAATCAGGAGGGAAACCAAACTATGACACCACAGCCTCTCCCCACAGCTGGTCTCTGTTGATACTACATGTCTAGGTGTTTGAGAATCACACATGAACACTTACCCGCTATGGAGGCATCCACTGTTCAACGTGCCCAGAGAATCTGTGGCTGCCCCATCCATGGAGGCGGTCAGGGCCAGGCTGGATGGGGCTTTGAGCAACCTGGTCTTGTGGGAGGTGTCCCTGCCCAGGGCAGAGGGGTTGGAACTTGATGATCTTTAAGGTCCCTTCCAACCCAAACCATTCTATGATTCTATGGTATTTACAGGTCTGGTAAAAATGAATCTGGCTTTCAGAGTTAGCTTTTTGGCTGTCATATTTCCCATAATACAGCTATGATGGGGGAAAAGTATCCACTTTCTTTCACAGCAAACATGAACAGGCCTATGGATATGGCATGCCTTTCCAAATTGACTCATCCTGTGGTTTTGGATTCACCTATCAATTTCCTCAAGGCCAAACAGTGACCTCAGAAGAACAGTGTCGATAATGATCCCCTCATCAGGCTTTTTCCACAGCTAAATTTAACACTCTTCTGTGCATGTTTTAATACTGCAGTATCTTAGGATTCAATCCTGTTGCCTTTAAAATGAGGAGGAAAACGTGGGAGATGACACTCAGCACCAGCAGCCATCCTCTGGGGAAACACTCTGCAAGAGCCAACCTTACATTAAGTTTAACTTGTTTTCTGCCACGTCCTCACTCACAGCACTACTTCTAGCTTTCTTTAACCAGGCTGATGTCTACACACCCCAGTTCCACATTTTCCCCACTGCCCTGCTCTCTTCCGATGTAGGAAACATATCTGCAAGTTGGGCAGATGCCTGGCTCCAGCTAAAAGCAGATCTTCCACTACCAGCTCCCTCCTTCCACTTTGCAATGGCACGGGATCATGGGCAGCTTCACTTAGATTGAACTTCTAAAAAGATTTATTATTTAAAGCCAGCCACATACACTGGCAAAGGAACAATATTAGCTGTTATTTCATCTTCTGCTCTCCCTGGAGACACACGCTATGCCTCAGGAGGTCAACTGTCCTTTGGCTGCCTGCTCTGGGAGAGGTAGGAGGCTCATCGAGGTGCACAGAATAGCACTGGAGGAAGCTGGTCATTAAAAGATATCCCAGACTCTCCCTTGGTCATTTTTCCTCATCACTGCTCCACAGAGAATAAGAAATATGCCCCCTGTGAGAGTCAAATGCAACACCTATAAATTAATCCCAGTCCAGATAAAACTGCTGAGCTGGCTCAGGGCATATTTATAGCCGAGACACGGCTTCCTCAGGGAATTACAGTCTCCAAATCAGTGCAGTAGTTCCAAAAAAAATCTGAGAAAAAGGCTGCTTCTTTCTCCTTCTCCTCAAGTGAGTTCCTTTCACCACAGAACTGCAAGTATGAAATTCATTCTCAAATGCAACTGGCTGGCTGAAATAACTTCTTGTTTGTGTGGCTGCAGTGCCATGTCCAGAAACCCTGACCATCACCATCACACAGTCATATTCACATGATAAAAATATGGTGGCATTAATAACTTGTGCTGGCATGCCTTCTCAATTGTAAGAGATTTACATAAATATAGAACTCAGTCTATAGATTTATTTCAGAGCCTCTTTATATCTGATTATGGCTCCAGGCAGATCACAGTCAGTACAGAGAGAGTAATTAAGGATGGGTAATTCTGTCCAGCAGCCAATATTCCCTACAGTGAGAGGCATATGATGGGTTTTCAG